AAAGAAATATATGAAGAACTTCTTCAATATCATATTACTGATAATTATCAACCCAGATTTATAATTCAAAAAGGTCCAAGAACAGGGATTGGAAAATTATTAAATTCAGATATAAAATGTTTAATTTCTGGATGGATTAGTGGAATTTATAACAAAAATAATGCTTTTCATGATTTTAAATTAATTCTTTGTGGATCTCGACATGGATTTTCTAGATCTGTCTTTGAAAATAAATGCTATAATATTGGACAAACTGTGGTTATAATGAAGATAAAAGGAACCGGTGAATTAGTTGGTGGCTATAATCCTACTTGTTGGAATATAAAAGAACAGCCTCCAAATGTTGCTTATTTTATTAAAACTGATAAAAGTTTTATTTTTAAAATTGATGAAAATAAAATAAATAATCCAATAATAAGTATAGCCAAGAATCCTGAACATGCAATATGGCATAGCAAACAAAATGTTGATATTACTGCAGATAATATAAAATTTAAAGAAATCCCCATGAGTTTTATAGACTTGGCACTATTTAACTGTATTAATAACAAATCTTATTGTTATTATAGTCATAGTTCTTATAAATTGAATTTGAATCTTCAAAATAATAACACATTTCGTTTAATAGAGGAATTTGAGGTGTACAGGTTAATCCATTCTAGCGAAGGAGTCAAAAAATGCATTGAATATCTAAAAAATTTAGCTCAATAATTAGATAAAAAAGATCTAATAATGATATTATTTATTTGAAAAAACGGTTATTTCTTCAAGTTCTTTTAGCATAGGAATTATAGAACAAATTAATCACTAATTATCGGATGTGGAAATTTTCAATTGAAAATTACAATAAAATAAAACTTTAATAGAATTATTTAAAATAAAATCAACCGCTAATAAACCTTGGTAAAGGTCAACAATTGTAGTTAAAGCTCCAAACGGTTCGTTTCGGTTTACATTCGACCCAAGAATTTCAGACATCCTAAATTTGTTAACTACACAAAAAAAAATATAACTTCACAAAAAAAAAAAATAAAACTTGTAGCCTGGTTTTGGAGAGTGTGTGTTATGAAATAGAGATGCTGGAAGGGTCATGTTCTAAATACATACATACCATGGTAGCGAAGGTCCATTCCTTACCAAAATTGGAGTGGAGACCATGATCTTTATCAATCTAAACTATTATTATATCGATTTTCTATTAGATAAATAATTACATTTATAAATTTAATTACCCATGATTGTATATTATAGAGTTGATTCTCTTTTTTTATTTGGAAACAAAGTTAATTAGTATAAAAACCGTATTAATAAATTGTTGACAATTCCTTTACCATCCACTAGTATTTACTTCAGAGTACTTTCACTGAACTAGATTATGATTTAACTATTATGATATAGCATTATTGTATGTTATATGATTCCAGCTACAATTAATAATAATAACCACCATCCAATCATCGTCGCCATACAAATTCAATTTTAATTTTAGATTTAAAGTTACCGCATTGAACTCATGATATATTCCAACGTTTATCAGGTGGCTTCTAATATTTTCAAAGTAAGTTCTACCAATTCCTAGCATATTGAGAGATTTTTTGGAAAAGTAGTGTATTATGATCCCAACAATAGAAAATTCTTTTAGTCTCTTTTAAGGCGCCTACTAGTACTTGTTGATCCACCATTCATTTCCTTAATTTGGGCCATCAAAAATCTGTCTTGAGAAGAGCTTGAAAGGATTCGTGTAATTCTGCAAATTGTTCTTCGGGGAATTCTTTGAAGTGCGACCACAACCAAAATCTTTTTCTAAAAAATCAACTGCTTTTTGGTATTCAGTAGATCCATCATTTTTGTTATTATTTTTCATATACACTTATCCCATTATATATAATTTTATGTTCACTTTGTAATTTTACCTTTGTGGAAGTCATGTCCAGTTAATTACTTTGTTTTCTCATTTTGATATATTCCAACGTTTATCAGGTGGCTTCTAATATTTTCAAAGTAAGTTCTACCAATTCCTAGCATATTGAGAGATTTTTTGGAAAAGTAGTGTATTATGATCCCAACAATAGAAAATTCTTTTAGTCTCTTTTAAGGCGCCTACTAGTACTTGTTGATCCACCATTCATTTCCTTAATTTGGGCCATCAAAAATCTGTCTTGAGAAGAGCTTGAAAGGATTCGTGTAATTCTGCAAATTGTTCTTCGGGGAATTCTTTGAAGTGCGACCACAACCAAAATCTTTTTCTAAAAAATCAACTGCTTTTTGGTATTCAGTAGATCCATCATTTTTGTTATTATTTTTCATATACACTTATCCCATTATATATAATTTTATGTTCACTTTGTAATTTTACCTTTGTGGAAGTCATGTCCAGTTAATTACTTTGTTTTCTCATTTTGTCTGTGTTGCTTCCGACTTATTCTTTTCTTCCAACTCATTCCTCTCCTCTTCTAAAAACATTCCTCTCCTCTTCTAAAAACATTCCTCTCCACCTTCAAGATCTCATTTTCATTTTCTTTACTTATTTTTATTTTCAACAACCTCCTCGCCTCATCTAATATGATGATTACTCAATACATCTGATATATCATCATTGACAAAATATCATCTCAATAATAAATAATACCAAGACCATGCAGAAATCAAACTTTTTAAGGAACCTGATTTCGAAACAATAATGTGCGTCTACCCAGATTTCTGGTATCAAAAAAAGAAATCCCCTGATTACAATTTATGGTTCTTTATGAATAATAAAATTTGATGATATGATTACAGGTGTCAGATTTAATAAAAATTTCCTATCACAACATGCAGGTCCGCACAATTAAAATACTTTTCAGCACCATGGAATTTTTTTTTTTCACGGGTGAAAGCTCCCCGAACATGTTGGAAGGTTTTTTCAAGGTGGACAAAAACTTTCCTTATCTTCCCCTCAGGCCAGTCTCGGCTGTTACCATATGATCATTGGCCACTGATGAGAGTTGGCACTTTATGACGATTGCTTTGTGTTATCTTCTCTTCTAGAATTATGTTGGCATTTGCAAATTATTTGAAATTCTGGAACAGGAGGTTGTAACCTGGGTTGCTGTTTTGCTGAATGGCACACTTAGAACTGCCTTTCTAAACTCCAGATAATTTTCTAAACTATTTTGAAACAAGTTTCGAATGGTTTTTTAATAGTGTCTAAATCAGTTTCAAAGAGTTTTGAAAATTTTCCAAGCTAATGTAAGAGCACATCCATTTACAAACAAAGTTTTGTGCTAGGGCAGGGGACTGTTTGGGCAAAAGCCCAAAATTATAAATTTGGATATCGTCAAAGAAGCGGGAAATTTAGGAAATAATTACATAAAACAAAACCATTTTATGACTTTCCTCTTGATGCCAGAACGTGGAGGGGCTTTTTAAAAAAGAAAAGATGTAATTTCCAGAATTGAATTCTTTCCTGAGCTTGATTGAAATGAGTTGCAGGTTCCCATTGCTTTGATAGATCTAGAAGGTTATGTACACCTAACATTGCAACTCTTCGATCAGGTTGCAAACAACCTCCAGATTGCAATTTCTTAGTCACAGAGCCAGCGATCTTCACCCTAGAGGTAGGATCGTTGCAGGTAACTCTTCAGCCAACATGTCTGCAGCCTTCTCTGGTTAGGTGCTGTAGGTAAGACATCCTTGACATTGATGCAGCTTCAATAAATTCCAAAGCCACGTATTTCCACCTGAAAATTTAGTTGCATCATTGTATCTTTTGATCCATCAGGTCAAAATTAGCCTCGTAAACACAAGGAACATAAGAATGACTGTAATATTTCAAATGAACTTCAACATTTGTAAATCAAATATTGCATATCGAAATGTTTCTTCTTGAATTGTTTCATAATTGAATTGTTTCTTTTTCAACAGTTGTGTTGCCTTGATTATACATGCAGCCCAAATTGGTTTGGTGAATTCAAAGATCCAAGTTCGAAGGTCAAAAGTCAAAAATTAATTATGGCACTCACTATTAAAAACATACATGTAACTTTATTTATCAAGGATCTTATGTAATAAATACCTAAAGAGACACTACAAGTTCTGTTCCACATTTTGATTTTAACAAGATATTTTATATAAAAAATAAAAGACATATGTCAATACATTTATATAAAACAATAAAAATAAATCAATACAAAAAAATAAAGTACCTCTCACCATCAATAAACAACATGTCTTATTTAATACCAAACACCCACCATACTAAACAACATTCACGTTTCCTCGTCTTGTAAAAATAAATTAAATAAATTGTAAAAAAAAAAAAAATGAATTGTGTCAAAAAAAAATAGGGGTTTCTTGTGCAACCCAATACGCGTATAATAATTTTTTGTCTATTTATATACCAAGATGCCAAAAGACAAGAAATTAAAAGAAAGAAGAAGCCAAAAAAATAACAACAAGTAATTGCTGGGTCTGTTGCTATTCTAGTTAGTTATTAAAAGAATGGTTGTAGTAGCAAACACTGCAACTTATCATCATTCGAAAATTGTATAAATCGAAAGAACTAAAAGAACCAAGAGAAAATAAAGGCATCTTCTTGACGATAATTGACCGTTTTGATATTAATTCAATTTCCATCTCATAGGAAAATAAGAATTAAAAATGATTGAGGAAGAGCTCCAAGAGACTCATAGAAGGTGCGATAGATATCTTAATTAATTAGATAAATTGAGTGATATTAGGAGGGAATTGAAAAAGAGAAAGTATAAAAATGGAAAGAAAGGAGAAAGAGGAATTGGAAGGAGAGAAAGAGGAAGGTAAATTCTTGGGAGGGACAAATAAAGAAGTTACAGGATTTATTAATTGTGCTTACCAATGAAGAATCTGGTAGGGCGCAAAATGAATCATTTGAGGGAATGTTTGGTATATTGATACCATAATAAAATCATCATTCCCATTCACAGAACAATAACTCTTCTCGAAGAAGAAGAATAGAAGGTATCATCATAGAAAAGTCAAAAAAAATGGGAGGCTTGCCTTTAATGAATTTGAATGGAAATATGTATCAAAAATTTATGGATTTGAAGAGGAAAGGTTACTTTCATTATTCAAATTTATGCTTATGGTTATATTTTGGGGTTACAACTACATTTACACCCACTAAAAAAATGTTCCATTTTATTTAATAGATTTTTTGATGAAAATGTTTCAGGATACAAAACTGAAATATAAATTTGGGTTCATGGTCACTTTCATAAATGAGCATGAATCAGAAGATCCAGCATTTATATTAAAAATTTGAATAGAACCCATTATTTTTTAATCCATAAATCTCTTGAATCACAGCTAGTTTCCCACCAAGCTGGCCCAATAAATATTGGTAAAGAAGCAAAAGAAAAGAATTCATTTTTCCTATAATCCTTTTGGCTTCTAGTGTATTCAAATAATGTTTGGATATCATCAAGTCTTGTATTTATTAATAATAACAATAATGTATTATTTAGATTTTGTGGGTGGTGACATCTCTGCTGCTTTTGAACAAGAACTTGAAGGAAAAATTGTTTCAGCCAGCCAATTGAAGAATTGAATTTGTTATTAATTCAACCAATTTTATGTTTGTAATGTAGAAGCAAAGAAAAAAAGTTTTGATCAGGGAATAATTCAAGCTTATATATATCAATGGAAACTACCATATGTCCATGAATGAACAAATTTTGACCTGAATTGTTTCTATTATAATTCTCTTTTTAAATTAATGCTGACAAGGCAAAAATCATATATGGAATTATTACGATGCAAATGATTGGGTATTTTCATGGCTAACAAATCATGATATTTAAGAGTCTGAGGTTTATCATTAAACAGCATAAAATCAGTTATTGGAAATATTATTACCCTGTAAGAGCTGATGTCGTCAATATATTAGAAATTAATTGTGGAGTAATCATAATTCACTCTTAATAAAAAACCTTTTAATTTAATATACCAGTATTGTTTGACTTTGAAATGCTGAGTGTGTAAAGAGTGCATACATATTAATAACTTGTGGATGATTCCATATTTTGTCAAGTTATCATTACCATGTCATTTGAGCGGATGAACATGTATAATTAATGGTGAAAATGACAGGTTTATGGTAATGAGAATTAGGGTGTGAGTCAAAACTCTATATATTTTATTAAACTTCTAAAATCATTTTAAAATTTCAGGGGAGAACGTATGGCTTTGGAGTTTATTGAAATTGTATCATTGTCACGGAGGCTGTTAAAGCTTCTTGCTTTTCAAAGCCTTTTAGTAGCTCAATGTTCACTTTGTTTGGTTTTGTTGCAGTATGCCCCATCTAAAATTTTAATTAGTGAGTGACGTTGACCCACTGTAGTTACGCAATGTCCTGCGACTATTAAATAAAATTTCTTATGTGTCCCATTGATCTGCTGTGACAAGGTTTGATTGTACGTTTTGATCCCTTTTTCCTAGAACACCTATCATATATTAGAAAGAAATGTCATTCAAAAAGATATTTTAGTGTCACAGACCAAGTCTTGGTAGCTGAATAGCACCATTCAATATTTATTTTTAAATTGATAATATGTCATGTGCTAATATTACTATAGATAAAATTAATTTTTACGATTTAGGACTATGTGATAATGAATCTTATTATTATTATAATTCTTACAGTTGTAAATAATTTGGATCTTGTGAAGTAACAACAAATTGATTCATTTGATAGAAGAATTGAAAATTCCAATATATTTTTATTTGCATCCAAATTCAAATTGTTTTTTTCTATAATTCTATTGAGACTAATTTCATTTCATTGATTGATAATGAATAATGTTGTGAAACGTAATATTATTATTGTGTCGCCTTATGGGTGTCTAAATTGTTTTAGGATATTAATATGTCTAGTTCAAAATATATAGTATTTTGACAGTCTCCTAACGGGTCGGTCTCGGGTCAGTATTACTAAGAAAGACATTTCTATTAATACTAATCTTAAAAAGATTTTATTTTGTGAATGTCAACAATATATCATTTTATTTGGGGCAGACTGCAACAAAGCCAGACAAAGTGAACATTGGTATTACAAAAATTTCAGGGATCAAAATTTAGTAATGTGATTATTAAAATCTCCCATTCGTTATATTTGTTTTTTTCTTGATATATAGAATTACCTCTATATAAAAATAGTTAATATCAATATGAAGTTAATTTACATTATGGAACCCAAGAATTTACAGCACCATTAGAAGTATTTTGAAAAAGGAACAAGGTGAGAAAATTGCCCCTTACATTTTCAAAATAAATGATACTCAGGCAATGGAAGCTTATCTAAGGAAAGAAAGGATTTCCTATGAAATTTACCAAGAAGAAAGAAAAATAATAAATGTTAGAAAAAAAAAGCAGAATGAAGATGTGCTATTACCCAACAAAAAGCAAAAACATTTAAAAGAAGAAAAATAAACTTATTTTTATTGTTAAATACTGGTCTATTTTTTCTTTTTAACCCCTTTTAATGTTGTTTGACGAAATGTTACCAAAGTTGTAAAACTATTACGCAAGTAAAATTGCTTTAAAGGCAAATAAAATATAAAAGCTTACAAAAAAACTTATAAATATATATTCCAAGGTCTTTTTTTTATATTTTTCTCGTGCACCCCAATCTCTCCTGATTTGGTATTTTATGTTCCAGGTTAATTAATTTTAGTGTATTAATTATTTATGTAAATAATTATAATATCAATATTTATTGATTAAGTTACTTTTGCAATAATCTTTATCCTTATTGTATCGATCAACGAAAATTTCATTAAAGTCCTCGCAGAGGATAATTAACATTCTAATAAAATAAAACTCTGATAAAAATTAATCATTAAATAAAAATATTGTCTTTATTTTCTTTGTTTAAGCGCCTTGATAAAAGCAACAGGTGTAGTTAATGTCTTGGTAAAAGGTAACAATTGTGGAGCTTTGTAAAAAGCCACGTTTATTTGCTTTAATGAACAAGCAAGCAAGGTTAGGATTAACGTTGGTTAATTAGTGAGTATTAACAAAGTACCGTCCAAAGGTTAATTAGAAATACTAAACGTAAGGCAGTTAAACAAGCTACTTGAGTTGTTTTTCAAGTAAACTAAAGAGAGTCAATAAATGTAAACGAATAAATCGATCACAAGTGAATAAAAGGAACTTTATAGAAGCTCTCGAGTTTTGTAAAAGGCCATATTTATTTATTTACATTTATCTGGTACCATTAAGTGTGCTTGCAGATTCGTCTAGGTGCAAGAAAGAGGGAACCAATGTAAATTTGTAAACTAATTAACTGACAAGAGTATCCAAAAGTTAAGCCATAATTGTTAATTGGCCGAAATGATACCACCATTTAACAAGAATCAAAAAGTTTATTATTTCAAAATAATTTAGCTATAAGAAATAAAATAATCAAATAATTATAACAAATAATTTATAGTGGAGATTAAATTAGTCATCATCGATTCCTTCTTTTAATTATTAGAATTAAATGTAAATAAAAAGCATTGTTAGTAATAATTAATGGATAGTTCTAATTAATTAATTAATAATGAAATTTTTATTCACCTTCAGTATTTAAGAGGAGAGTGTTAAAATCAAGATTGTTTAACGAACTATCTTTACTTGTATAAATTTTCAAGCTTTTTGATTGAGCAATCTCTTCATCTAGTATTCTACTTTTATGATATGCATCTGGGTGTGATTTGTGTGCTTGTTGCGAAGCATTATTACCACCGCTGCTGCTGCTATCATGATTTTTAATTTTAGGAAACTTGAATAATCTTTTTATTAAACTATTATTCTTACTATTGTTTTTCAAACTTTCATTTTTAATAATATCATCTAGTTTATTATCAGCAAAATCACAAAGCTCTCCAATAGTTGGTCTTTTTGATGGATCTACATCCCAACACTTCTGCATCATTTGCACATAATCTCCAGGCATCCCAGGTAATATTGGTGGTCGTAAACCTTTTGCACATATATCAAAAATCAAACGATGATTGTGAGCTCTATCATCAAATGGTGGATGACCTGCAAATACTTCCCACATTAACATCCCAACACTATAGATATCTGATTCTTTGGCGTTCTTTGCATTAATTTTGCCTCTAAGTAGTTCGGGTGCAACATATGATACAATTCCATACACTTTATTTGATGATTTTTCATCAATTGGTCCACATAATCCCAAGTCTGTAATAAAACAATGACCTCCTTGCACAAGTATATTACCACTATGTAAATCACAATGGATTAAATCTTTCCGATGTATATCATTTAATGCATAACATAAATAATAAAATATTGTAATTCTGTCTTTTAATGTTAAATGACTTTTTTGTAAGTAACCCCTTAAATTTCCATCTGATAAATAATTTAAAACAATTGCATAATTTCCATTATCTGGGAATTTAGTTATACCATAACACCGAACAATCAGTGGTGTTTTAATTTTACAATAATTTACTGCCTGAAAATAAATAAAATCAATTAGTATTATATAATACAGTATTGTTTATTTTGTTTTAAATGACAACTACCAACCTCATCAAAAAATGCTTTTCCAGGATTACTTGAATCATTTAAATTTTTTAATACTACTAGTTGCTCTTCTAAATAACTAAATTCCTTTTTATTTTCGTCATAATCAGTAATACTTCCTCTTGTCCATGTAGCAGTATAAATTGAACTAAATCCACCTTCTGTCAACTTTGTTACTTTTATGAATTGCTCAAAAGGTATCCATTCTAAAATATATCTTGGAAAAGATGAAAGTATTTGAGATTGTTGAATAAAGTTGTCAACTATGTTATTTCCAGATGTCCAGGTGGTGAAAAGACTCTGTAATTGTAAACTAATACAACCTTCACAGAACCTATCAGAGTAACTTGTCAATTTACATTTGTTACATTCTTTTGGTTTTCCTGATTTATTTCATGCATTTCCTAATTCAAAATTATAAATAAACCTTTCCTTACAAAATTCTTTTTCATTTTCAGAAAGCTCCTTGTTTTTCTTGACTAATGAAAAAAAATAATCTTTTCTACTTTCTTTATCAGAATTATTAGCATTAGCATTATTACGCATTCCATTATCAATTTTAAATACAATTTCCCTTCTTTCTAGTGATAACGATGATAATAGTTTATTATGTGACATTATGTAAAAATATAAAATTCGACTTGGTGTTTTAATAAATGAGAATAACTTTTTCTTTGTGGAGCGGAGAATTGAATGACGTGTAACAACAATTTTTTCGTACAACAT